CAGGGAGGCCATGGAATTCGAGACACGGTAAACGAAAAGGAGAAGTCCCAAAGAAGAGGTGGTTGGACGCGGTCGAAAAGGAATTCAGAACCTTACCGGAGCCGAGTTGTGGCATAAGATGCCGTAGATAAAAAGAAGTGGGAGGGCTCACAAGAAGTGCAGACTCTGCGATGGCGCAGGATCAATGCTAAGGGAAAGAAGCCTTTCCTTTCTAAGGTAAATTTCGAACAGTCAGTAAATAACAAATACACGACTCACTTCGAGTAATGGCTGGCCAGCCCTAGGTAAGTAGTCTCCCCAAATCCACACGAGAACGATGCCAGTAGTACTCCAAGCAAAGCTGTTGGAACGGAATTCGCCCAAGCTGTTACCATTAATGAGGCAGTTTGTGACATGCAGATTATGAAGTGTCGGACCCTTGAAGAAATTACAATTTGACAAAGGGCCTGTGAAAACTGTCATTGAGTAGGTTTGACACCTTATAGGGACAGTACTTACCCATAGGGGATATGGTGCATGAAGAACGGACAGAGCAATTTTACTATGAGGCATGGTAGTATGTTACAAATCAGAACAACACCTGCAGAAGCAGGAGCGCAGTCGCGAAATGTTATATGCTCCTAAAGTCGATGTTTTTAGAGAAAGAATTTGAAATTCCGGATTTTCCTTACAAAGCTGGACCTAATTTTTTTGTTTTTTTCCGAGATCATTACCGTAAAGGAAGCTCTCAGTAACCCAATTTCTGCTGGGTTTCGAGCAGTGTAATTTCCCTATTCCATGCCCTCAAAGGCAATGGACTACGCACTGCATGAGAAACCGACCTGTCAACCAACCCTATTGGTCCCCACCAATGATGTCCGGCCACCATTGGGCAACCGCCCGGAGAGCTCCGCCTACAGACGTACGGGTGTCCACAAGTTTTTAGAGTATACGAACTCACTACGCAGTGCTCAGTATTGTTGGCGTTCGGTGTCGCACTTTCGGAATTTCTCTTCAGAATATCTTGAGCCGCTCCAAGCATGACACTGTAGGCAAAATTGTTGCACATGCCAAAAATCCTGAACAAATCCATTAAATCTCTTTTTTGTGAGGATTAAGGTAACTTGTTTACTATTACCAGAACGATATCATGTTCCTAATCGCTACCGATTTCTTTTCCGGACCAGCACCCATTTTGGCTGAAAACAAGGAACCATTTAAATTAGTACAGCGGCATCGCACTCAGAGATAAAAGCACATAAGACAGAAGTCAGACAAGGTGACCTAAAAATTCGAATTTTCAAGAATGTCAGATATAGTAAAAGGCAAATTAGGACGTAAGTCAGTCCAAAGAGTATTTGCAGAACTTGAATGAAGGGAGCTTCAGCTTTTTTACTTGATCAGTTATGTGGATTTCGGATGAACAAAAAATTTCAACAAAAGTAAGTAATATCAAAAAGGACAGTTCTCTGAGACTTAAAGTCATGAACACCACAGTTGGGTTGTGGTCTAGCTTATCGACTGGTCGGGATATCAAAAGGAGATGGATGAAATTTGCCTAGGTATGTGCCTATATAATACCTATACGAAACCTAGTCTGAAGCCAAGGCCTGAGTAGGGAATAAGAGAACTTTAGAAGGTGCACCACGCCCAGATGAGTAATGTTCCTCGAATTCTATTCCAACTTGAAAGAGTTGTAGTTGCATCATCAAGGCATTGGTCGGATTTCAAAAAAAAANTTGTTGCACATGCCAAAAATCCTGAACAAATCCATTAAATCTCTTTTTTGTGAGGATTAAGGTAACTTGTTTACTATTACCAGAACGATATCATGTTCCTAATCGCTACCGATTTCTTTTCCG